CATATTTTCATTTCTCATAACCTGAACAAAGTCTGACCAGAAAAAAACCCCACCAAAAGTGACATTAAAAGAGTGGTTTGAGACTCTGGGATAAAAGTAGAGCATGGCAGGTTGTGGGGTTGCTTTGGGGATGTCTGAAGAGAGATGGTGGGACAGACATTCCCCTGTGCACGCCCACGAGGAGCCTCGTTTTCCCAAGGGAAAATCTTGGAAAAGACCTCCGAGATTACCCAGCCCGGCACCCACCCGGGACTGGGGCCTCGTCCAGGCTGAGGTGGCGTCTGGAGAGTCTCCACCTTCCCTGGAAGGAGCAGTTTGGGCCCGTTCACATCATCCCCTCCCCTGTGCCACAGCTGGAGGAGCTGCACAGCAGCCGGGGCAAGTTCTGTGACGACCTGAGGAACAACCAGAGCGAGATCGCGGAGCTGAACAGGATGATCCAGAAGCTGCAGTGCGAGTCAGACAACGTGAAGAAACAGGTAGGACCAAGGGCTGGATCCCACGGGGCTGGGAAACTCCTCCATCAAAGGGCTTTGTCCTCAGCAGCTCCCACCCTGCAGAGCGGCCAAGAACCCCCAGCCCACACTGGATCTGTTGGTGGCTTCAAATGCACTCAAAATACACCCAAAAGAGCTTCAAATACACACAAAATACACACAAAAGAGCTTCAAATACACTCAAAATACACACAAAAGAGCTTCAAATACACACAAAATACACACAAAAGAGCTTCAAATACACACAAAATACACACAAAAGAGCTTCAAATACACACAAAATACACCCAAAAGAGCTTCAAATACACTCAAAATACACACAAAAGAGCTTCAAATACACAGAGAAAAGCAGATTTATTTCTCACGTGGTGAATAAGAGGCTGGTTGGTTTGGCTGTAACAGCATCAGTGTTTCCTGAGTTCCCCACAGGGTGCAGCCAACAGGTCCCTTCCCTTTCATCCCAAACTGCTCGGTCACCACCAATCCAGCTGAAATTTGGGCTCCCTGATGCTTCCTCGCTGAGAAATGAGGGGTCACAGGAGCAACCTTGTGGAGATCCCTCTTGATATCCCCCCTGACCACCACGAATTCAGCTGAATCTCCCTGGCACTTCCTCCCTGAGAAATGAGGGGTTAGAGGAGCAGACCTGTGGAGATCCCTGTTTATATCCCCCTGACCATCACCAATCCAGCTGAAATTTGGGCTTTCTGACACTTCCTCACTGAGAAATCAGAGGGTACAGGAGCAACCCTGTGGAGATGCCTCAATATTCCCCCTGGCCACCACGAATTCAACTGAATCTCCCTGGCACTTCCTTGCTGAGAAATGAGGGGTACAGGAGGAACTCTGTTTATACAGGAGATCCCTGTTTATATCCCCCTGGCCACCACCAATCCAGCTGAAATTTGGGCTCCCTGGCACTTCCTCACTGAGAAATGAGGGGTTAGAGGAGCAGACCTGTGGAGATCCCTGTTTATATCCCCCCTGGCCACCACAAATCCAGCTGAAATCTTGGCTTCCTGGCACTTCCTCATTGAGAAATGAGGAGCAACCCTGTAGAGATCCCTCACCCCCATCACCCTCTTTGCCAAGAGAAGTCACGGCTGGAGGTGCCCAAGGCCGGGTTGGACAGGGCTTGGAGCGACCCATGGCAGGTTGGGGTGGGACTGGCTGGGCTCAGAGGTGCCTTCCACCCTGAATCACACCACGGTTGTCCCCCTGTCCCCATCCCCAGATCTCGGCCCTGCAAACAGCCATCTGCGATGCGGAGCAGCGCGGCGACTGCGCCCTCAAGGACGCGCGGCAGAAGCTGGTGGACCTGCAGACGGCCCTGCAGCAGGCCAAGGACAAGATGGCCTGTCTGCTCAGGGACTACCAGGAGCTGCTCAACGTCAAGCTGGCCCTGGACATCGAGATCGCCACGTACAGGACGCTGCTGGAGGGAGAGGAGAGCAGGTGGGAGCATCCCGGGGGTGCCTCGGGAGGAGGGTCGGGAAAACCCCGCAGGAGGAGAGGGAAGGGATGTGCCCCAGAGGCAGAGGGGGAACAGGGTCCCTTTTCTCACCCTGTGGGTGCAGAAGAGAGCAGGGTCCATTTTCCATGGGTGCAGAGGGGGAACAGGGTCCCTTTTCTCTCCCAAGGGTGCAGAGTGGGTGCACTGTCCCTTTTCTCTCCCCGTGGGTGCAGAGGGAGAACAAGATCCCCTTTCTCTTCCATGGGTGCAGAGGGGAAACAGGGTTTGTTTTCCATGGGTGCAGAGGGGAGCAGGGTCCCTTTTCTCACCCCAAGGGTGCAGAGTGGGTGTGTTATCCCTTTTCTCTCCCCCTGGGTGCAGAGGGGAGCAGGGACCCTTTCCTCTCTGAACGGGTGGAACATCACCCCTTTACTCTCTTAATGGGTGCAGAGGGGGAACACCATCTCTTTTCTCTCCCCGTGGGTGCAGAAGGGAGCAGGGCAGGGTCCCTTTCCTCTCCGAATGGGTGGAACATCACCCGTTTTCTCTCCTCGTGAGCGCAGAGGGGGAACAGGGTTTCTCTTCTCTCCCCGTGGGTGCAGAGGGGGACCATCGCCCCCCTTTCCTCCTCCTCCTCCTCCCAGCGCACTCAGATCCCCCGCCTCCCAAATACCTTAACATCCCCTCCAAAGGGAGCATGGGATATCAGGATATCCACGAAATTTTGGGATCCCACCCCGCGGTGCTTCGGTGGGCAGTTTGACCCAGCTCCCGAAGGTGCTGAAGGACGCGCCACCTTTTTAAGGAGGCGGCAGCCGGGCAGCACCTCAATTTGCTTTGAATGTGCCTCTATTCGAGGAATATTTCCCTAAACGCATCCCTGAGCCACCTCTTTTCCCCACAGGATATGCACAGGCAACCCCGTGAGCGTAGGTGAGTGGATGAACCCCCCGCTTCGTTTCCTTGAATTTAACTCCTAAATTATTTAACTCCTAAACTTTAAACCCTTCCCTAAACCCCCCTAAGCCGCGTTCCGGCCGCCCGGGCAGTGACCGAGCGTGTTTTCTCTCCCGCAGCCGTGGTGAGCGGCGGTGGCACGGTCGGGGAGTGCCGCTCGCTGTCGGGACTCGCCGGGAAATGCTCCGTCAAGGCCGGCGGGGCGGGCGCGGGGCTGGGGCTGGGGCTGGGGCTGGGCCCGTCCTTCGCGGTGGGCACGGCGGGGTTCAGCGCCCGCAGCGTGGACTGCCTGCCCAAGGCGGGCGGCGGCTTCGGGGCCCGCAGCGCCGCGGGCTGCGTGGGCAGGGAGGTGATGCCCGGCGTGGAGAGCGTCCAGTGCGCGCCCGCCGTGGGCAACCTGGGCAACCTGGGCAACCTGGGCAACCTGGGCGGCGTGGTGTGCGCCGGGGTGGAGCAGTGCGGGCCCGGCGCCGTCCTGCTGCCCGGCGCGGGGGTGTGCGGGGCGGGCAGCAGGTTCGGCACGGCCGTGCGCGTCGTCAGAACGACCCGGTAGAGAGACACCCCCCCTACCACCACCACCCCCGGCGCGTCGCCGTTGGAAAAAGTAACCAGCATTTCTGCAGGAAAAAAAGAAAAAACAGTGTTCCCCCTCTCCCTGTCCCCCTTTCCCCGACAGCTCCGGGCATCACGCACCGTGCGCTCTGCGGGGCGCTCTGCCACAAACTCTCTGCAGGACCAAAAACCCGCCCTCCCTCTCGTGTCCTTAGTGCGGGAAAGTCCCCCCCAGACCCCCCTTCCCCCGCGCCCTCAGCCGGGTGAGGTTTTCATTTCAGAGCCCATCCCTGTGTCCACGCATCACCTCGGCTCCCGAGCGGCCCTGCCCTCCCTGACCCCTTCCCAGCGGGGACTTTCTTTCCCCGACGCAGCTCTTGCAAAAGGATGAGAAATTTGCTCATCCCGACTTCAGAGAGAGAAGCCACAGTTTAATTGTCCGAGACGAAGCTGCAGCTGTAATTTAACTCCTTTAATGACAGCAGAAAAGCCAATTTTTCCTGTTTACCGGAGGGTTGGTAACACTTATGTAAATTGGTCCGAGTTGCTACACCGGGTTTGGCGGAGCAGAGTTTAATTACAGCCCGACGAGCACCTTATATTTCTGTAGGTTAATGCATGAGTTGTTTTTCCTGTGTGTACCAGACAGATTTAAAGCTTTTCATGTGTAAGTGAACAGAGTTGATTACCCTTCGCTTACTCCAGCCTTTCAGCTGTGCCTTCAATAAACTACATGCATAATTCATGCTGGGCTTGATTTCCCTCCTCGGGATTACAAATTTCCTCAGACCCGAGTCTCCAAAGGGGTGGGGTTTGGAGCTTCAAGAAGCGGAGTTTTAATCAAGTTTTTGTCTGGTCTCCTTCCCGAGGCACCTTTGCATACCTTTGTCCCATCCAGTGATTAGTGTGGCCACGAGGAAGTCTGGAAAGGAGGGGTGAAGGAGGATATTTAACACTCGGAAAGGAGGGGTGAGGGAGGATATTTAACACTCGGAAAGGAGGGGGGAAGGAGGATATTTAACACTCGTGGGATGTGTGGAACTCCCGGGATCTCTCCCGGTGTCTGGGAGCTCTGGAGGCACAAAAAGGCAGCCAGGCCTTGTTCAAAGGAATCACTGAGAAGCAGCTCAGGTGGTCAGAGAGGAATAATCCCCCAGCCCACCCCTGGAACCCTCTCATGGAGTGGGTTGGTTGGAGAAATCGAAAGTGCAGCTTCCCAAAAATGCAGCCCCGGGGGCTCCTCCCCAGCCTCCCCCCCCCCGCCCCAAAACATGGGAACCCTCCCAGAGAGCAGAGTCTGGAGCTGTGGCTGGATGGGCCCCTCCAACACCCCTTCCAGGGAGGGGAAAACCCTCTCCCACCATTCTGGGAGGCTGGGATTTAGAATGATGGGATATTCTGAGTTGGAAGGGACCCCCAAGGACCATCAAGTCCAACTCTTAAGTGAGTGGTCCGTACAGGGATCAAACCCACAACCTGTTCTCCACGAGGTTCGTGGAATTGTGGAATATCCTGAGTGGGAAGGGACCCACAATGGTCATCCAGTCCAAGTCCTGGCCCTGCACGGGACAACCCCAAAAATTTCACCTTGTCCCTGAGAGCACTGTCCAAACACTCCCTGACCTCTAAAATCATGGGATCACGGAATAACCAGGGTTGGAAGGGACCCACAAGGAGCACAAGATCATGGAATATCCTGAATGGGAAGGGACCCATCGAGTCCAACTCCTGGCCCTGCACAGGAGACCCCAAAAATCCCCCCACATGTCCCAGCACTGTCCCAGCACTGCTGAAGCTCTGGCAGAGTCCCCAGTTCCCAGAGGGCCACTGACCCTCTGACGGGTCTCTGGGACAAGGCTGGGAAGGGCTGGCCAGGGTGACACTCAGGGGACACTCAGGGGGACACTCACAGCTGGATGCACATCTGGATGCAGATCTGGGTACACAGCTGGATAAACATCTGGATGCACATCTGCATGCACAGCTGGATGAACATCTGGATGCAGATCTGGGTACACAGCTGGATGAACATCTGGATGCACATCTGCATGCACAGCTGGATGAACATCTGGATGCAGATCTGGGTACACAGCTGGATGAACATCTGGATGCACATCTGCATGCACAGCTGGTGCACATCTGGAAACACACCTCGTGCACAGCTGGATGCACATCTGGATGAACATCTGGTGCACAGCTGGACGCACATCTGGTGCAGAGCTGGATGCACATCAGATGAACATCTGGTTGAACATCTGGATGAACATCTGGTGCACAGCTGGATGCACATCTGGTGCACAGCTGGATGAACATCTGGGCTCACAGCTGCATGCCAGGAAAACCAACCGACCCCGCGGCTTCTCCCTTCCCAAGGCTCCCCTGGGAGCCAGTCCTGCCAACCTGCCAACCCTGCTCTGAGCTGCCCTTTGGACTAATCCCCGTCTCCTCGCCCAGTCTGGGAGGGGTGGGAGCAGCGCAGGGCGGGGGCGGCTTCGTTTGCCCCGTGAAAGGTTCGCCCAGAGCCGGGCGCTAATTCACGGTGATTTATTCCCCTAGACTTCCCTGTTGACTCAAGGTTTCTTCCCAGGGCTGGAGGACGAGCTCAGCCCTCCTGCCAGGCCCGGCCTCTGCTCTCGGGTGTTCTGGGGATGAACCCACCCCTGGTTCCGTCCCCTCACGGAGCGCGGCGGGTTCGGGCTCCCCACGCTGGGGCTTCTCCGGGGGTTTATTGGGGCAGATCAACAGGGGGCAGGGCACTAATGAGACTTTAATAAATGCAACAACGCCTGGGCGGGGGGTGCTGAAAGCCAAGTGGACCAGCCCTTGGTGAGGAGGCAAAACTCACCCACCTGCAGGTGGTTTGGAACTGGTTCTCTCCAGCTCTCGGACTTCACCTCATTTCCATGTAAATAAGAAGCAGAAACACCCAAACAAGAAGCTTCCAGTGCCCCGACAGCTCATAATTTATGTTGATCGTGTCCCTGCCAAGCAATACCTGCACACCAAACCCCAGCCAGGTCCCCAGGGGACCAAAGCAGCCCAGCAGCTCTTGCGTTTCTGGGAGAAAACCTTTAATCATCCCTGCCCTCGACTCCCAGGTGTTGCAAAACCCACGATTGCTGCTGCCTGCTCACAGGTGTTCATGTAGATCAGGGTGCTTGGGAGAGAGAAAAAGGCCAGCAGTGTGGTTTTGGGGCAGACCAGAGGCCAAATCCTGCACGGTGCAGCTCCAGATGTGCCCCTTTGTGGATCGACAGAGTCCAGAACTGTGGGATCAGGGAATGGTTGGGTTGGAAGGGACCTGAAAGCCCATCCAGTTCTATGGGCAGGGACACCTCCCACTATCCCAGGTGGCTCCAACCTGGCCTTGGACACTTTCAGGGATGGGGCAGCCACAGCTTCTCTGGGAAATCCATTCCAGGGCCTCTCCACTCTCCCAGAAAGGAATTTATTCTGTATATTTAACTTCAATTCCCCCTCTTTCCTTTTGAACCCATTATCCTTGTCCTGGCACTGCAGTTGTGGATGCAGAGTCCCCCTCCAGCTTCCTCGTGGCCCCTTCAGATCCTGGAAGGTGCTGGGAGGTCTCCACACCCCAACCTCTCCTTCTCCAGACTGGACAGCCCCACCTTTCCCAACCTCTCCTGGTCATGGAGCTGAGGGTATTTTGGAGAGAAGGAAGTCCAGGATTGTGGGTTTGGGACATATTGGAGGCCAAATCCTGCAGGGGGTCACTCTGGATGTGCCCCTTTATAGACTGACAGAGTCTGGAATCACGGAATCATGGAATTGTTGGGTTGGGGTGACCTTAAAGCCCATCCAGTTCCACGGGCAGGGACACCTTCCTCTATCCCAGGTTGCTCCAACCTGCCCTTGGACACTCTCAGGGATCCAGGGGCATCCTCTGGGAAATCCATTCCAGGGCCTCCCCCGCTCCCGGGGAGGGATTTATTCCGTGTGTTTAACTTCCATTCCCCCTCTTCCTCTCTGAGCCCGGGCTCTGGCAGCTCTGATACGGGTGGACAGATGGAATCCCCACATCCTCCTCTGGCTCTGGAGCCCCCAGGCCTCGTTTGCTCCTTGCCACAGCCCAGCCCAGGAGGGACAGGGGGTGGTTTTTGTGTGGCTCTCACCCCTCCTGCACGGCGGGGCCGGAGGGAGGGGAGGGTGGGAGCCTGGAGAGACAATTCCCCCCTTTCTGAGCAGCCCCACCTTTAATCCCATTCCGTTCACTCGGCTCTCCCGCCTGCTCCGAACCCGTTTGGCAGCTTCAGGCCCATCTGCCTTCGCTGGGCTCGGGGAACCGTGAACACAAACCTTGTTTTCCCATCACGCCCGGGCCTGGATTTGCTGCAAACCCTGCAGGCTGTGGGTGCTCAGCAATTCCAGATGATATTCCAGGCCTGGATTTGCTGCAAACCCTGCAGGCTGTGGGTGCTCAGTAATTCCAGGTGACATCCCAGGTTTGGATTTGCTGCAAATCCTGCAGGCTGTGGGTAATCAGGAATTCCAGGTGACATCCCAGAACATCCCAGGCCTGGATTTGCTGCAAACCCTGCAGGCAGTGGGTGCTCCAGAATTCCCAGTGACATCCCAGGCCTGGATTTGCTG